CGGAACGCTGTTACCTTCCCACCAAAGGTGGTCCCTATTTTTCTACTTGCATTTTTTTACCTGCTTTCGAATTGCTAGGTTGGCAGAAGCTGGGTCAAGTAACGGGAGCTCACTCCATTACATGGCACTAGGAATTCAAACCGCTGAACTGCAGATAACAGTCAGCTGAAGTAGCCTGCAGTACTGCACCCTAACCACTGTGCCACCTTGGCTCAAAGTGGGACAATGCAAACAAATGCATATTTGCATACAGTAAAAGGCAACTGATTGTGGGGCTGGCAAAGACTGGAGTATTCTTCCCAGGGAAACTCTTTTTATCACCCTAAAAGGAGTCTAGACTAGACCACCCTAAGACGTGTAGACTACAACCCCCAGAATTCCCCAGACAGCCATGCTGCAAGTCTTAAAGTGGCCATGATTGGACTTTAGTCTTAAAGTGGCCATGATTGGACTCCCCTGGTCTGAGATAGGAGAAATCTCATTTAGATATGTGCCTTCAAGTCAGTTTGACTTCTGGAGATTACGTGGACAAGTCCCTGCAGTTTTCTTGGCCACACTTTTTGGGAAATGGTTTTGCCTTTGCCTTTTTCCTGGGCTGAGAAACAAAGGATGGCTCAAAGTCAGCTGGCTTTGTGCCTAAGGCAGGATTAGATCTCATAGTCTCCTGATTTCAAGACGTGTTTAGGTGAAAAAAGAATATTTTCCCAAAATAGATTTCAACCATTCTTATTTTTCTTCATTTCACTGATTCTATCCAGCTTGTGAACGATCAACTTTGGCTGCTGTTTTAAGTACCAGATTAAAACTTTGAAACAGTTCATTTCTATGAATAGCCTGAGCTCTTTTTAAGAAGAGGAATGGATGAGTAAACAAAAATGAGGTTTTTCTGGGATACAGAGGGTTAATCCGCACAAACAACCCCAAATCTTTAAACTCTGTTATCTTTACATGGATGGCCTTCTTCAACTCACCTTGAGTGCATATTCAACATGGATGATGCGGCACTGCAGGATGGAGGGTCCAACCGGTGGGATCTTCAGTGCACGGCCATGCCACACTTCTCTTGTCCCTGGTATAATGGAGTCTCCCGCAATGCTTGCCACCACGCATTTCTTCTGTTTTTTAGTGCCTCGGGCAATGAATGTCTGTGTCTGGATGATGGCAGCTTTTGGTAAGATAGAACGGTTGGTGCAGTTGTCAATTTCAGCAAAGATGGGGATGACCTCACCTGCAAAGGGAATGGGAGAGAGGTGGGCATTAGGAGGGAATCCACTACGGTTACTCGTCTGCTCTTTTAAACTTTTCCTCTAACCTTTTGCTGGTCTTTGTGAAATTTTTACAAGGGCATGCATATGTTTTGATGGCAACAGCACTGCTTCTCCCTACCCCTCTCTCTCCTCAAGAATTTTGATGGCCTAGTTCTTCACGAGGGAACCTTGAGAACATTTTAGCTAATGCTATGTTCGTGATTTATACAGTTATCAAATTTATACACTTCCCATCTCACCTGAGTGACTTTGGGTGGTTTACAAATAAAAAGAAAGAAAGAGACCCAATTTGGTCCAGTGATTAGGGCACCAGGCTAGAAGCTGGGAGACCATGAATTTAAGTCCCACTTTAGCCATGATAGCCAGCTGGGTGACACTGCGCCAGTCTCTCTCTCTCTCTCTCTCTCTCTCTCTCTCTCTCTCTGTCTCCTCACAGAATTGTGGGGAAAATTAGGAGGAGGAAGGTGTATTGGGTTATTTGTAAAAGTAATAAAAGCTTGAATACAAATTATCTATCTATCTATCTATCTATCTATCTATCTATCTATCTATCTATCTATCTATCTAAATGGCTCTGTGTGTGTGTTGTGTGTGTGTGTGTATGTGTGTTCCAGCATAACTCTGGAACGCCTCGAGCAATTTCAACCAAACTTGGTACACAGATGACTTACTCTCAGGGAAAAAAATACTGTGGGAGTAAGACACCCCTAACACTCCTTGGGATGTGTGTGTTCTGTTAAGATACAGCTCGTGGTGCCTTAAAATGGCTTCTACTGTACTGCCATAAAATGGCTTCTACTGTACAGTGCAGTGGAGTTGCCATGGTAACGGCTTCACAGTATTCCCTCTGGGGCGCTCCCCCTGGTAAGGGGGGAAATCTAACATTAGAAATTACGTTTGGTCTGGACATTTTCCCCCTTAAAATAAATGCCCGGGGCAACGCTGGGTTATCCACTAGTAAATAAAACCATATTCAAGAGACACAGATGGGGAAAAGAATTTAAGAACAGGACTAGATTTTTAAAAAGTGGAGGGAGTACCATCAAGCCACTGACCACCCCTAGGGTTGCAGCTCACTTTCAAATCCCCATGCCAGCTTTGGCATTTGGGTGACTGCAGCTGTGTAAAAAACGAGCCATTCACCAAAATTCTGCCTGTTGGGCACACATCTGGGGTAAAGATGAAAAGAGGAACTATCTCACATTGCAGCCCCCTCCTAAACCATTGCCTAAAAGATCACCTGGTGTGTAGCCTTTCCGATCAATTTTGGCTGAGACCGAAACCTGGCCACGGTTACAGTACCACGCTCGCGCCAGCTTTTCTTTGGCACCAGCCTGGGGAGTCTGTTGGGAAAAGTGAAAAGGAGAGAAACACATTAGCAGCAGGAAAAGAAGAATCTGAAGTTTCTTTTCCCAAATCAAATGAGGAAGAGGATAAACTTGGAGAAAGATTCACACACAATAGCAGATTCCTTCTAACAAAGCACTTGGAGGGTGAAAGGGTTTTGTTTTTTATTTAGGTTTTCTTTGAGTGCTGGATAAATCCCTGTTTCCAGATCCTCAGAAGTATAAAAATAAATGAACCACGGTGTGACAAATTATTAGCGTTTGCTTGTCCTTCGGCATAAATTAAACAAGCTTATGATTGGGTTGCCTAGGAGATACAAACCATGGTATTAGGAGATACAAACCATGGTGATGAGATAAACAGCTCAAAGATTAAGGCTGCAAATATTAGACAGCTCTAAGTTAGGGAAGGCAGGATTATGATATTCAATAAAAGCATGGCAATAAGCGTCACCCTCTTATGACAGAAATCTTAAAAAGACTTCAGCTTGTTCACATTGTCACTATTCGTCCTCAACATCTCACCAGGATATTGCGGAGAATCATAAGAGGCAAAGATGATGGGGATGGTTTTGATAAATGAGAGATCTCAGTTAAGTAGCATGAATTGAATGCTACTGAATTAATTTCTGGTGTTAAATATATATTTAACACCAGAACAGCCGGGTTTGAATCCCAAAAGGGTATGGCTAGCTCACAAGAGCTAAATAGCTTGAAATAGATCTACGCAAATCTATTTCTTTGTCAGTAAATATTAATCTAACACAAAAATGGTTTGTCGTGAAAGCAACTGCCTGAGAAGGTTTCTGGACTGGGGCTAAAAGGCGAAAGCAGAAGCAGTATGCATAGTTGGGTAGACCAGATTGCCCTGATAAAAAACCACTTACACTTTGTGGTGTTTAAGCAATACGTTTTACACAACCATAACCTAATACTTTGGACACAAGAACAGAACAGCTGGCAATAAACTGTGCAAGGCCATTACCGGTAAGCAGCTGTAGTTCTTAAGGAGAGTAAGATTGATCTTGACTGGTTTATGAGACTAGATAAGGCCTGATTAGGTCTCTTCAAAGAATTCCAAGGCTGTACCAAGACAGGAAAACTTTAACAATAGCCTGGAAAAAGGCGGCTGCAAACCACTGTTGTGTGCATGACAAAACTATATGGCACTATCTGCAATCCAACTACCTCCTAGCCAATACAATCTTTTTCATCAATTGTAAATTGCTAGTGTGAACCAGGTTAGCTTTCTGAGAATAATCTGAAATGACTGTGACATCCTATCTCCGCTTACCAATAAGGCTGGTGTGTTGATATCAATGGGTTCAATGACTGTGAACTCCTTCTTGGCTCGTTTGACGGAAGACCAAGGCCGGTGCAATTTGGCCTTCACCCAGTAGCGGACACTGCCATGCTTGCCTTCAAAGGAGGTGGCCAAGGTCCTGTTTCGATGGGGAAAAAGAAATATTGCGGCTAAGAACAAGGCCAGTGTCAACCGCTCCAGCTAGAAAATGCTTAAAATAGTCACTAATATGAACCCATCCTGTGTTTGGAAAAGACAAGGACTTACCCCGGGAGCTGGAAAGTGAAGGGAAACTCATGCCTTCCTGCCTGGAGGACGGTGACATCTCCATTGTCTGTTAGGGAACAGAAGAAAGAACAAAAGCCCTTTTCAATTATTATTGTTATTATTTGCGTAAAGTTCTGCCAAGCTTTTATGCAATAGCAAACCAACAGAACGTAGGTGAAATTAAACACACATGTGCACATCCAAGAGATAGCAATCGCAACAAAGAACAGTCCAGGTAACATTAACCACAAGGGTGTGTTTTTTTTTTTAAAGACAAAGCCTCAAGTCATCAAAGAGATTACAGAGCAAGGCTGGTTTCTACATTTTTTCCACAATAAAATTATCCTCCTGCTTTCCACATCATTACACCCAAGGGAAATATCTTGATATACCTGTCAATGGAACCGGTGGAAGCTATACCGAATTCCTACTGGCTTACAAGAGGCATTTGGGAAACTCGCGTTTCACTGGCCTCATAAAAGTAGGGACTTCGAAGCCAGCCACTCACTACTCAAGAGAGCAGTGCATAACAATAATGATTCTTTATTGTCAACGCACAACATATGTACAATGAGGTTGGTTGAGCTCCTTCGGTGCAGGTCATGTCTCTGGGCAGGCATTGCGGGCTTCCTCTTCCCTTGGTGTCCCGTCCCCCCCCCAACATGATATAATGCGCGGTTTCCCAGAAGGGAACTGCCTGATCCAAATTTACCAGTTGCATCCACTCACGTCCGGCACGGAGCTCGGGCAACCGGCCCCGCGGGAGGAATTCTTGCAAAGGGCAGCTCCGCAAAAATCGGAGAAACCCAAGGAGGGGAGGGGGGGGGTTAAATTAAATTAAAATAAAGGTCTCTCGGGCAAATTCGCCTTCCCCATCAGACCGAGCCCGTTTGCTCCAAAAGAAGCCGCCTCGGCGCGGTCAGCCAAGACCAGCCCTGCCCGGTTCCTTCTTTTTCGCAAGGAGCCCGAAGCTGGTAGGCGTGACGCGCTTCCCCGAGAGAGTAACGGTAACAAGAGTTGGAAGGGACCTTGGAGGTCATCTAGTCCAACCCCCTCCTGCTCACGCAGGGGAATCCCTACAGTAGGGATTCGAACCGCCGAACTTTCTGATCGACAAGCTCAGATGAAGGAGCCCGGAGAGGCTGGGATCGGGGTCCGTTCCGTCCCAGCTCAGAGCAACCCCTCCCCCGAGTCCGCGGAGTTGCGCTCCGTCTCTACCTGGCGGGGCGAGGAGGGTCTCCCGGTGGTTGAGGAACTCCACCTGGTCGCCGTAGCTCTGCGTGTAGGCGGTGCTGGAGCCGGCGCTGCGGGACTCGGTCCAGTGGACCTTGGCGCAGCCCTCGGCGTGGATGTCGAGGGAGCCCAAGCGCGCCTCGCCGGACAGCTCCAGCACGACGCGGCCGATCACGGTCTCGCCCGAGCTGAAGACCGGCGGAGAGGCCAACTCCGGACAGTCCAGCACGATGGAGAAGCGCTTCAGCCGATCGAACAGCATGGCCGAGAGGAGGAGGAAGAGGAAGATGGGGGGGAAAATAACACTGAAGCTCGGGAGGGAGGAAAGCTCGACGTGCGGTCAAGCGGGGCGCAAATCGCGCTTTGGGCTCTCCAGGGCGCACGGCCCCTTTAAATACTCCGGCCGCCCCTCCGCAGCCACGCCCCCGGAGCCCAGAGGCCAATCCGAGGGTTGGAAGGCGGGGCCTAGAAGAGCCCTTTGGAAAAACAAGTTAGCAAGCAGTCGCCCCCGGCTTTGAAAGTTGGCCGGCGGGGCTGCTCGGCTGCCTGTTTGACCCCCCTCGCTTGGCTCTCAAGTTTGCAAACGGGGGTGGCTAGGGGAGAAATTTCCAGAGAGGTCAACTTTCCTCCACTGGGCAAGGGTTAGCTTAGTAAACCGGCCTGAATTTAAAAAAAAAAATGCCTTGCAATTTAGGAAACCCAAAGAGAATTGAAATAGCTCCAAGTCCGAAAAACAACAACACTGTGGGTTGTTTATTGTTGTGACTTTCCGCTTTCTTCCGGCTCGCACAATGCATCTATCCTAGGATCTGGAAGGAAGGTGTGACGTTCACTTTAGTAACAGTAACAGAGTTGGAAGGGATCTTGGAGGTCATCTAGTTCAACCCCCTGCTCACGCAGGAGACCTATACTAGGGATTCGAACCGCCGAACTGACGACCTTTCTGACCGACAAGCTCCGTGTCTTCGCCACTGAGCCACGTAATCAGGCTAAATTAAATGCTACTGTGCTCCTGGATTTGGGACCCGTCTCCCACCACCACCATTACCACCATCACCACACCCTCGTTGGTATTCCCCTTAAATGCCCGCGCCCAGTTTTCCTCCGCATCTTTCTATAATTAAGGTGGATGCTCGCCAGACCAGATCCGACTAGAATTTCTATTTCAGTCAACCGAAAGTGCAACTGTATTGCCCTATCTTGCCCTGAGGCTGAACCAATACGCATACCTTTAGGGATACTTCCTTTTCTTTCCAGGGGAATTAACTCTGGAAATTCCCCTCTAGCTGCTTTTCCATTCCAGAACTGACTTAATCTAGTTCCCCAGCAAATGTCACTTGTCATTCTCTGATAAAGACCTTAGTTGGCTGGGGAAGAATTGGACTCTGATCCCTATAGAAAAAGGCTGGCTACACCTTTTTTTTTTCATCACTGATTTTTACAGCCTTTCCTTCCAATCCCCAGAGCATGCATCCAGGAGTTATCCAGCATTAGTTTGGGAAATCCAAGGGGGAAAATAGAAAGGCTGCCTGATCCAAGGAAGGAAATTTTATTTTCTTACAAGCTCCAGTATCAAACCTAGATCTGAATCTGGGACGCACACAAGTATAGATTTCGGGTAAAAATCATCATTACTTTTTGGAAATTTGGCACTATTGTTCCTATAAATTTCTTCCCGCAAAAAGATCAAATGCAGAATGGTACAATCTCTCTCTCTCCAAATTTTTGGCAGGCTCACCTGGGCTAAGGAGAAACCTGCAACTTAAAAAGCAGTGTGTAGAATTGTAATGGAGAGGAGTGACAAGAATGCTAAAGATTTCCTCCTGCTTAGCTCCTATGTCGAAGAACTCAAAAATTGCCAGTGGAGGATTATAAGGAAAAAGGGAAAGTAACATTCCGAGGGCTTTATCCCCTTGAATGAACATATAAGAAGGCTTCGAGTTATTGGGGTCAAATATGTGCTTTAACTCAGATAATTCTTATTAAAATGTACAATTGAAACCAGAGGTTTTACATTGGAGGGAGAAGTAGTTGAAGAAAAAAATATGGGACTGTTTATATATATGAAAACTGCCATGAGATTTTTGTATTCCCAGAGATGGAAAGATTCCCACAATGGAAAAATAGATGAAGTTAAAGGAACTGGCTGAGATGGCAAAATTGACTACTTTGATTAAAGAAAACATCTTTTGTAACTTTATTTCTAGATGGAAATCATTTAAGATGTTTTAATAAAGATCAAAAGAAATACAGCATTAATTTTGTGATTTGAAAATTAGAAATGTTTATGATTATAGAAATACTGGGTATTATTTATTTTAGATCAAAAAGTTAATTTATTTTATATTTCTGTCGAAGAAAATTGGAAGTTACTCTTACTTTATTTCTTTCCTTTTTTCTTTGTTCCTTCCCTTCCCCTATTTTTTTCCTTCATAATTTTTGTCTGTTTTTCATATTTTATAGAACTTTAATAATAAAAAAGGGAAGGCAACAATCTTCTCATCTTGGACATCTGGTATTCAGAAGTAAACAACCTTAAGGACACGGAGATTTCTGAATACCAGGAAATATTACAAGCATTCTGGCAGTCGCTTGAGCATAAAAACACCCATATTTTGCTCATAGGACATGGTCATGCCAGAGAAAAGGAAATGTCTTGCAATTTTTGGCATACACTGCCATCATATGGGGACCAGGGGGAATAACAAGTGCATTTTGCATGAGGTTTTGTTTTTTTTGATTGGGTTATATATAGTTAATGGCCCAGAAATAAATAATCATAAGTAAGCAAAACAATTCTGGGAAATGATGCTGTAGTCTCTTATGCTCTTATGGACTTTCATACATTATACTTTTCTTCAACATTGATAGATCATCCAGCCAATAATTTCATGTGTAATGAACGGAATCTCACAATGCAGGAATCCAATTGAGGACGCGCCTATAAAATAGATTCGTAAATGGATCCAAGTTGAGCACAAATTCCACAGAGCAAGGACCCCTTTCAGTAAGTAATATAATATCTTTCTTCTCTCCCACTCTTAGGTCTAAAGATATTCTTCCTTATGGTACCTCAAAGGTTAACAGCGATTCAAAGGCTGTTTAATGAGAATGTTTTGCCAGATTAAAACCACAGAGTTGCTTTAATTCCCCCTTGATGGCTAAAAAAACCAAGGTTGGCTACCACTCTAGAATTTAATGCTTGAAAGCAGTATCTTCTATTTTATAAACATAGAAATGTAGTACATCCTTTAAATGTATTGAATTAAAGCTAAATTTCCAGCCAGTTTACGTTGGGATAGAAATTCAGTCCTGTTGCAAATCACTTAATAGGAATGAGCCAATTCTTTGGGAATAAGGGCTGGTTGTAAATCAGCTCTTGGCATGTAATGAATCGTGTGGGATTCCAGTTGAATTTTTAAAAGTCATTTGCTTTTTGTTAAACCACAAAAGGGTTTTTGTTATTACAAAAATGTAATAAATGCTAAAAAGAATATGCTAGCCTTTTTGTTAAGACCAAGGAAAAGAGTAAAAATTATAAAAGGGTGATCTTTTAGGCCCTTCAAAACTTCCCTGGAGATGATGATGATGATGATGATGATGATGATGATGATGGCATCCATGAAGGGATTGGATTTGGATTTTATTAGTATTTATAGGCCGCCCTTTTCCCTGAGGGGACTCAGGGCGGCTTACATCA